GGAGGATCTAGTGGCAGAAATGGAATATAATATCCATAGGAATGTTGTCATTAGTGTATAATCACCTGAATATAGGAATTGTTGTGTTTTCGTTACCTTAGAATGAACCATTTTATCTACAGAGGCTGCAGGTCCCTTTCAATGCAGTCCGCCATGTTTTCCACAGTAGCCCAGACAAAGCTAACACTAGCTGTAGATGGGGCCTTACAGCTTGAGGAGCTCAAGTACGAACAAGGTGTTTGCTAGCAAACTAGCTAGTAGGTGGAACAGAAGGTGGGTTTTTACAATAAAAAAAATGGAAACGCAGAAAATTCGAAAAAAATCTCAAAATAGTGCAAAAACATTTTTACACTTTGGTCGAGGTGGAAAAGTTGGTGTATTCATAAAAAAAAACCTTTTTATACTTTTGCATAACAGTAGTGGATTGAAATGTGCATTAACTGGCTTTTTTTTGTGCTTATTTTCTCGAAATTTCGCTAACGTTTGCACGTACATTTGGATGGAAACCATAAGGAGTCTGTACAATATGTGGTTATCGGTTCCACGGGTTATTTTTTCAAGTTAGGACACATCTTTACTTGAAAGAGGAATGTAGGAGATATGGTTAGTTAACTTCCTAGATTAGATCTAAAATTGCAAAAAAATGTCATAATGTATGTTAAGTAATTAACTAGCAACCCATTACTGCTTCACATTCCTTCTTCAAGGAAAGTTTCGACGTTTGCAGCGCCCATCTTGGGATAATTTGTAATAAATTTTGATACGTAACATACACATACATGCACTCGACGTCATCCCTCTGCAAATAACCCATCTAAAATGTCAGTGAGGCCTGAACTGATTGCACGTAATGCACTTCAACACATTTCATAAGAGCAAGAATGTGACAGGCAGTGACAGACTGAAAGTGGTTCAATCTGTGGCCTGAATATACTGGCAGTAACATTCCTACTTTTGGAAACAGAAACAGAAATGAAGCATCAATGGACATCATCATGGTGCTGTTTTTCCATGGGTTTCTACCAATGTAGGATATTGCACTGTATGTGTTTAATATCTTCTGTAAATATTTGGTACGTTGGACCAGAAAAGTACAGCTTTTCATCTTTTTGTCCCACAGTTTATGACTTAGCGACGCTTGATCTCTCTGCCTGTGTAAATTGAACTTGTATTGCACCTTGTTTCTATGTCTTTGAGTAACCACTGGTAACCATGCAAACATACTGTGACAGACATCCATCCCTTCATCAACATAATTTAGGTCATTATGGCGTCATGGTCAAAGAATGGCACAGAGAACAACAGTTATGGACAAACAGGATGTGTGTTTTTCTACTAAAGCAATTTCTGTGTTTGGGATCTTTGGGGTGAGTTACACAGACAGGTTCTTCAGGAACATTATGTAAAAATGAAGGCTAACCTCACACTAAAATAATACCAACATTTAAGCAAACGGAGGCAGAATAAAGATAACAGGGTTGGTGAAGGTGATGGGACTGTCCCAGCTGCTGTTATTCTTGCTTTCTGCTTGGTTCAGCTCTCCCTCGTTCGTCAGTTTGGAGGACGGCCTGCCCTTCTGCCTCATTTTCTCCATTCTTTTCTCCATTTTTCTGATTCAGCCCACCCCTTTCAACATCCCACATCCTTCTCTCCTCTGCATGCAAAGGGGAAATACGCAGACTCCACAATAATTATCCAGCTGGAACTGCTCATGGGGGCTATTCTGGCTGTATTAAATTCATTACCAACCAGTGAAACAGATTTTGAATATTCTTTCAGCACAGACTGTCTTTTTATACATGTGACACCTTGATTGCTGGCTACAGAGTGGCATCCTTGGAGCCGGGAGGGGGACGCTCAGATACACTTCGGAACACTTGCATTCAGGCCCGACAGTGACATTATTTCCTATGTCCTTGCTGACGATTTGGGAGGTCGAAAGGTTAGCACTATGACCGGAAGGTAGCCAGTGGTGAGCCTAGCACAGCAGTGGAAAGAAGTATTCGGGGAAATTCACTGGAAAGCACCCTTCCTTACATCAGCATAGAAGCCTCAGGAAGATTAAAGGATGAGGAAAATTTGTCTAAAGCAAAACCACTTTTCTGGTTCTCTCTTCCATAACAGACTAGCTGGTGAATGGAACCTGTTACAACTCGTTTGTATCTCTCTGCTAACTTCTAGTTTTTACTTGGTTACGTATCTTACCTTGTTATTTCACACTTGTATAGTAATAACTTAGTTAAACCTATGTAAACATCTAACTGGTGGTAGCTCAGTCTGGCATTTGGCAACATTTTTCATGTCAGTACTTTTAGTCTGCTTATGACCTTAATACAACTCCACAAGGGGGTTATACACGTTTCCATTCTTGCCTCAATCCATTTATTAGGGTCCAAGTAAACATTGTTGTGTATTTTGTAATGTAAACTATAGATATGGTTGTGAACTGTTACAGGGCTCTTTCACAGCAGACATTTTGTCTTTTAATAGCAGGAAAAGCACAGGTGTTACTTACACTGACATTAACCATGGCTCTGTTCTGTCCCAGTAAGCCATGACAGTGTGACAGTGAGCCAGCATGAACTTATTGCCTGCTGGTTCCATCATTTATTTCCCTGCAATCAACAATATTCTGTTATTTACTTCTAAGGCCTTTCTCACAGCGGACAGTTTGACAAGTCAGACACAGGTGTAACTAATCATAGGAAGTATGGCTGCTTCAAATTTAGGTCCTCCGGTCGCTGGGGCCCGACTATTCTACGCATTGTGACTCATTTGTCAGTGTCAGTGGAAACTTATTAAACACAGTGCATGATAAATGTGTCATTTCCTGCTCTGATGAGGTAAAACTTCTGTTGTGAAAAAGGCCTATTTTTGGTCATCAGGAGACTCAGTTGCAGGTACAGTATCAGTTTCACATGAATAGGTTAAAATAAATAGCACCTAACTGGCTTATGAGGGTAGCCAAGATGCATGTGTGGGTAGCATACAGGGCTAACTGTGAAGAGTACAGTTATCCACTGTCCAAACTTGTAAGGGTGGAGCTGCAGAAGGGATATTAGACAGGAGAGACACTGACTCCTGTATAACACACGAGTCCTAGCAGAAATCACACACAGAAACGCTCTGATAGAAGCTTGGAAGTCAACCTTTATTGATACTGTTTAAAAAAAGTCATGTCAATCAACAAGAGAAAATCATATAGGTCTTTCATATTTGCTTGTAATGTAATGTGCGTGTAAGAAACACTGATTAACATAATGTATCTCATCTCGATTAGGAACGACACTGAGCTCTGACAGCCACTGCGGAGGATGCCCTTCGAACACTGATCCTGCATCAATGCTGCTTTTATTCTGAAATCCTTTCTTCGGTGTTACAGAGGTGACCCGAATTAGCACATTGCAACAATCAAAACCTCTTAAGTCTCTCAAACATTAATCCTTTGAAACCTTTGTTCAGCAAATTGTTTGCAGTAAAAAGTGGAACATCTGTATGTTCTGATCAGAGCAGAGAGATAAAACAAGGAAATGCACACTGCTGAGTCCAAAGCAATAACACTTTGTGTTTCTATCCAAGCTTTCAGATCAACTGTGGAATGATGTGCATGTAACAAATTTTAAACACATCCCCTCTATCTCAGCTGAGGTGATGAAATCTGCTTTGGTTTAATTTCTTAGAGAACTTTATTCTCTCAGCAACATGAGATGAGCAAAAGGAGGGAATCAAACCAAGGTGCAGCACATTACAATGTAATACAATATAACTGTGGTGCTGGGTTTGGGAATCTGTAAACAGTTGACTTTTTTTAAGGAAAAATCTAATTCCTGGTGCTCTCATTGCTTAACAAACAAGTATGTTGCCTCAATAAAGAAAAAATCAGTGTGAAAGGTAGAATGTGTTTTAACTTGTGATAGTAAGTGATGCCACATAAATGAGATCTGGCATACATTAGTCCAATTAAAAGGCATTTTCAGTGAAATATAAAGTGAAATAAAAATGTGGATGGTTGGACACAACGTATGCACCTTTCTTTTAGCTCAGCTTTAAGGCACTGAGACAATTATCATTGTATGTATTAACACAACGGTACACAACATAACTGAATGATGTACATTAAAATGAAAGTATAAAAAAATCAAACAAGAATAAAATTCCAGAAGGCACTGGATATAAAAGGAATACCAGCATTTTTCAACCCTTTTTCTGCACCCTGAAGTTAAAATATCATAGTTCTGTTATTTCTTCTTCATTTCTTTTTTTTTGGGGGGGGGGGGCATGTTCCCAATTTCCTTCCCAATTCAGCATGTAGTCACTGCTTATATGTACAGGTCACTAGCGGTGTCGTTTCACCTGCTAGCCAGGAGCAATTTTAAATTTTTATTTTTAAACGTACCGAGCATAAAATGGCGCTGGGTAGCTGGATCCTTTTCACCTTCTAATGTTTCAGCTGAGGGGCTGAGAAACGCTGGTAAGCCTTATACAACTTTTAACTGGCTAGCTGTTGTGTTTCTAAATTCTGCGCACAGTGTCCGTCTTGGTGGTTGGACACCTTGTCGATATTCAAGTACTCTCCTCTATTTCTCTCGGGGAGTAAAATAAATTAGATGCTCTTTGAACTGCCCTGCAGTTGCAATGTGACCGGTGGTGATAAAACTGAAGACATTAAAAAAAAAAAAAACACATATTGGTATCAAAGTACAGTATCAGGATTGTGTATAAAAAATGTGAGAAGAGACGATAACCTGATTTATGGTTGCTCGATTTCATACGTTTCCATGTCCGAATGCTAACAAAAACAAATACATACTGTAGTTGCCCAACAGTCTATGTGCGCAGATACAAAAAAAAATAAAAAAAACTAATGAAACAAAATATATATATTGATGTATTCTAAACTCAACTACATGAAAAGGTGGTTAAGGACAAAATCCAAAGCCTCAAAGATATCAACCAATGTAACATTCAAAGAACGCATCTCAAACACATATTGTAAAAACATACCTTCCACATAACATCTGTACACTTTCCTGTCACAGATTGGTACGAAAACTGGATCACAAAATCATTTAATGATTGAACATAATTTCTGTGTTAAAGGGCTGGAATTTGTTGTATTAGCATGTTGTTGGATAAAAAAAAACATCACAAAAAGGTGAAGAAGGAATCACTTTGGCACTGAGTAAAATGTAAAAATGTAAAAAACCAAAAAAACCAAATCAGATATATTTTATCTTAGTTGCTGAACACCATTAACCATCTGACCAATTTAAATTGTTTTGAAATCTAATGATTGATTCACCATCACAGCAATGGAGGAATAAACCAATCCATTCAAACTGAGATTTTCATGTACAACCTACTTTTCACCTTAACTCTTGACGACAATGGCCTAACTCAGTAGTTGATAAAGACAACAAAGAAATTTAATCCATTGCAGTATTCTTTTGTGGACTTTCTGTCCCTACATGCTTTGCTGTCCAGCAACAATCCTCCCTGATCTCACACGCGCCAACACTAAGTAAAATATTTCCCCAAAATCGCCCCATTCATTCAGTATGCGACAGACTGTCAAGTCAAACTGCTGGTTAAAATCATTTTTCTTGCTCATTAGCAAATACTCATACTCTGTAGAAAATTACCTTTTCCAATTTTTGGCGGGCCCGGTCTTCACTTTGCACATAAACAATGACGCAGAGGACATTGAGGTTGGTCAAACTTCAGCTTTCATAATGCGTTTCCCTGGTATTCCTACATTTTATTACACAATTTATCATGCTAGCTGGTAGCATGTTTGAAATGACTTAAACTTGACTTGACACTCTTTCCGATACAAGAGAAGCACAGGACGACTGGGATTCAAAATACTGCTGATCTCTGGCTTATGGCAGGAGTATCTTTGGCAGCGAGGACCACGACCTTCAAAGTGAAAGAACTAGTCAACAGAGCGGTAAGTCTGTGATATCAAAGCGGGTGCGTTGGGGGGCGGGAGGGGTTTGTCTGTGTGATTCAGGGTCGAAGGCTGGGCGGGGGACGCGATGGCGGTGGACAGGGAAGCCCCGGGGGTGTGCGGGCAGGTGGCGGTCCTGGGGGTACCTGGCCTGACGGGGGTGGTTTGGCAGGAGGGCTGCTCGAGGTGGGCGACGAGGAGGCGGTGCGGGTCACAGGGCGGTAGTCCGGTGGCGGAGGCGAGGGTGTGTGGATCGGGGTGCGAGCTTGGGCCTTGGCTGCCGCCGACTCCTCTTTCACTCTGGTGAAGTTGATGCATCGACCCTAAAGGGAAGGACAGAGACATGAAAGACAGGTGTCTAATCTGAGGCACATCTGGGGTAAGAGGGCAGTGACATTATGTGACTGTGTGTGTGTGTGTGTGTGTGTGTGTGTGTGTAGCCAGCTGGTGTTCCAGATTACATTTAAATCCCTGCTTTGACGCCCCCTCTCCAAATGATCCTGGTTAGTCCAATGTTCTGTCCCGAGGACTGTGACTCACTTACCAAAGTTCCCTCAACCTCATGATTAGACCATATGGAGAAATACATATAGTTAGGGGCTGGGATAAGAGAGGGAGGGACTGGGGTAAGAGGGGGGGAGTAGCAGGAAAATGTTACCAGTGTAAGCCTGATTTATCTGACTGTAAAAAAAAATGAATTAGTTCCGGCAAAAATCAAATTTCACTCCTGAGCTGCTCGTAAAATATTACACTAACCGCGAGCTTCACCCGAGTTCACAGAGGTCGGCGTTACCATGGTAACCCCACCCACTTTATAGTTGCATGTGGTTGGCAGCAAGAGTGGAGTGAAGTAATGTAAATCTGCTAATAACCAGCATCGGTGATTGGAGTCGCAGGAGCACGGTCTTACAGAGTGGAAAATGAGGGAACTGAGATTGATGTCACTAACAAAGCTGCGTGGAATGAGTATCAGTCCACCTTAAAAAAAAAAAAAAATGTACCCACAAAGTGTTGTATCCGTGCTTTTTCACATTTTTAAAAGGTTTTTTATTCACTGAAAAGTCTACAGAGAATAAGCATGCAGGAACACTGGGAAAAGACCACTTACAGAGGAGACAGGGACACATTTTGGACCTATACTGTGGATATATAGTAGTAACTTTCACGTAGATAAAGTATTAAATCATTAAGAGTGAAAGTCAGACGGAGGGAAAGAGGATATTTAGAGATACAGAAAGGAAATACTACCAGAAAGAAGAAAATGATAATAAACCTAATTAAACTGAGGCAATTCTCCAATATCCCACTCTAAACTTTTGCCCTCTACTCCAGCCAACCGCTCCTGTCCTCTTCCATTATCTGAACATCTGTACATCTACCGCAGACTCCTCTCTAACACTCGTTCGACTTCAAGGTCAGAGGCAGATTAAACTTACACTGGAGGAAGAAGACGTTAGACGACAGTTGGCAATGTCTCTCTCTCTAACACATACATAGGGTCACACAGAGGCAACATTTGGCCCAAAATATAAATCTAAACAGTCCCAAAGGGCACATTCCATTCATCCCGACTGGTAAATTAGCTGCTGCGAGCAAAAACAAAACCTTGAATAAACAGAGTAGAAAAAGACAAGAATTTACCACCAGTTCCTGGTTTGTCGCCACTTATCCAGTCTGGCATTCCTAGACATCGATAAAAAAGCCTGAATGAGGATCTCAAATTCTTTAAAACTGTTCTTGCCTCATGGAAATACACACAGAGAGGAGTGAGGAGACATACAAAAATACAATAAACTAGTCCTGCACTTGGATGTGTTGAGAAAAGAATCAGTTTTTCTTTTTCAACTGTTAAATTATTACAGCTGGTCCGACTAGTTGAACCAGTGTTTGTGTTATAAAGTCTCATTTAGTTCCACAGAGCAGCTAACACTGTCAATAATGAGAAACTACGGGCACACGGTTAGCTCAGTCGGTAGAGC